CTGTGAAGTTTCTGACTTTTTTGTGCTGCTGCGACGAATCTCGGCCGTACGAGGGATGCTTGGAGGATGGACATGCATGCATGCTCGCAACCCGCTCTGGGAGGGAGTGGTTCATGGTCATAGACTCATAGAGCCGTGATCCTTCACCGTCACGAGGAGCCAGCCGGACGTGAGGTCGGGGCGTGGACCGTGGACTCTGCTCCGTCCGTCCGTCCGAGTCACCCCTCACCCGCGGATTAATGGCCGACGATGGCGGCCGCCGTTTCCTGGGCTGGGCCGCCCGCCCGTAGGGTGAGTCGTGCTTCACCTGGGCCTTGGCCGTTCCTGGACGGAGCATAGGATGGGCCAGAAACATCACATGTCGAAATAGCAAGCTGCCTTGAATTTCTCTCTCTTTTTTGTTTGTTATATTAGTTAGTTTGTTTGTTTGTTTTTTGCTGTATTTTGGCCAGCGAGGTAAAATGACCGGATAGAGTATATATAGAGGTATTTATGTCCAAAAAAAATGTCCATCTAATTTACTACGTACTAGACATGATCGTAGGTCAGCTGACCCGATCAGCCTGGCGGTCTGAATCGCCCCAAAATAAACCTTACCTTGCCTGACCCGACTAGTTCGTTATATTGGTGGATGACTGGAAGGAGGAATTGCTAGGAAAAAGATGAACACAAGAACAGGGCAGTTAACGAGGTGATGGCTGGTTTATTCAAGCTGAATTTAGGTTTTCTGTTTTTCCTCCGTGTCCGACTCCCTCTCCCTAGCTTCTACTTATTACAAGGATTCATACTCGCCACATTGGGCCGGCGAATCTTGTACTGGGCCAACGCAACCTCTTGGGCCGGGCGTCCAGAGCAGCTCCCTCTTCAGTCCCAGGCACGCCTTCTTCTCCTGTCAGTGGCACGGGCGGAGGCAGGTTGCTGACATTCCCCCCATCTTCAGAACCAGCATGTCCCCATGCTGGTGCTCGTGGAAACTGTTGGCGAAGTTGCTCGAGCGGCTCCCAAGTAGACAGCTCCAGAGGGGAATGAGACCACTGGATCAGGCCTTGCGCCACCTGCCGAGACCCAGATGTCCAGAGGCGTTGCAGCACCCGAAGTGGAAACTGATACTGCTGCAAATCCGAAGGTAGAGAAGGGGATACCTGCTGGTTGCCAGGAGAAGAACGCAGCTGCGGTACGTGGAAGACCGGATGGACAACAGCGCCTGGTGGAAGTAGCAGCTTATATGCAACGGAGCCAATCTTTTGGATAACTGGAAAGGGGCCAAAAAACTTGAAAGATAATTTGTTGTTAGAGCGGTGAAATAGTGATGACTGAATATAAGGTTGAAGCTTCAAGAACACCATGTCGCCCACAGAGAAGTGATGCTCAGAACGGCCTTTATCAGCTTGGCGCTTCATGCGAGCTTGGGCACGGAGCAAGTGTTGCTTGACGACATTATGCATGAGTTCTCGATCAGCCATCCATTTGTGAAGTTCAGGCACTGGAGCTACCTCATCCAAGTTGACCGACAACAGGCGTGGAGGAAAACCATATAAGACCTCAAAGGGGAACGACCCAGTGCTGAATGGGTGGACGTATGAAAGGACCTAATATGGCTAGAGGGGGGTGAATAGCCTATTTAAAAATCTACAAATCAACTAGAGCAATTTGATTGGTATGACAAATAGCGTAATGCAAACTTGCTCTAGCTCTACAAGGGTTGCAAGCCACCTATCCAACAATTCTAGTTGCAATGATTACTTAGGCACACAAACTTGCTATGTAACTACTCACTAAGAGCTCTCAATCTTGCTACTCTAAAGAGCTCAACTCGATGAATGTAAATAATAAATCAAGCTCTCAATTCTAATTACACTAAAAAGCTTGTATCAACTAGTTTGCAAGAATGTAAATAAGTGAGTAGGGTGATTATACCGCCGTGTAGGGGATGAACCAATTACAAGATGAATATATAGCCAATCACCGGGAGAATGCCAAAGACAAGAGACAATCGATTTTCTCCCGAGGTTCACGTGCTTGCCAACACGCTACGTCCCCGTTGTGTCGACCAACACTTGGTGGTTCGGCGGCTAAGAGGTGTTTCACAAACCTCGTCCACATGATAGGACACCGCAAGAACCGATCCACAAGTGAGGTAACTCAATGACACGAGCAATTTACTAGAGTTACCTTTCGGCACTCCGCCGGGGAAGGTACAACTCCCCTTACAATCACCGAAGATGGCCACGAACAATCACCAACTCGTGCCAATCCTCCACCGCTGCACCAACCGTCTAGGTGGTGGCAACCACCAAGAGAAACAAGCGAAATCCGCAGCGCAACACGAATGCCAAGTGCCTCTAGATGCAATCACTCAAGCAATACACTTGGATTCTCTCCCAATCTCACAATGATGATGGATCAATGATGGAGATGAGTGGGAGGGCTTTGGCTAAGCTCACAAGGTTGCTATGTTAATGAAAATGGCCAAGAGAGTGAGCTTGAGCCGGCCATGGGGCTTAAATAGAAGCTCCCATGAAATAGAGCCGTTGTACCCCTTCACTGGGCTAAACACGGGCCGGCCGGACGCTCCGGTCATATTGACCGGACGCAGGACCCCAGCGTCCGGTCCTCAGATCTTCGCCACGTGTCATCGGCTTCAAACGCCGATCGTCCGATCTCAACGGTCAAGAGATGACCGGACGCGTCAGTTAGAAAGTGACCGGACGCTGGACCCCAGCGTCCGGTCGTTTCCAGTAAGGTTCCAAACGCGAGATTTCACGACCGGACGCGTCCGGTCATGCCCGACCGGACTCACCCAGTGTCCGGTCACACAATGTCTCCTCTGTGCGCCTTACGTCAACGTACGTCAGCACTGACCGGACGCACCCTGCCAGCGTCCGGTCACTTTTAGCGCCAGCGTCTGGTCGAAGACCGAAACATGCGCCCTCTGCTGCCACTAACCGGAAGCTCCAGTCCAACCGAGACCAGCGTCCGGTCACATACAGTGACCTCTAATTTTTCTGTCTAGGATGCCGGTGGCACCGTTGGACTGTCCGCACTCTACAGGCGGACACTCCGTCGATGGAGTTTCTTACCCTTGCACCCCAAACTTCACCACCCTTGATCAAATGTGCCAACCACCAAGTGTATCACCTTGTGCACATGTGTTAGCATATTTTCACAAATATTTTCAAGGGTGTTAGCATTCCACTAGATCCTAAATGCATATGCAATGAGTTAGAGCATCTAGTAGCACTTTGATAACCGCATTTCGATACGAGTTTCACCCCTCTTAATAGTACGGCTATCAATCCTAAACGTGATCACACTCGCTAAGTGTCTCGATCACTAAAACAAAATAGCTCCTATAATTTATACCTTTGCCTTGAGCCTTTTGTTTTTCTCTTTCTTATTTTCCAAGTTTAAGCATTTGATCATCACCATGCCATCACGGTCGTCATGGTCTTCGCCATTGCTTCATCACTTGGAGTAGTGCTACCTATCTCATAATCACTTTGATAAACTAGGTTAGCATTTAGGGTTTCATCAATTAATCAAAACCAAACTAGAGCTTTCAACGTATTATACCAGAATTCAGCGAGTGATAGCCAACGACTCCACTGAGCTGGGCAAGTGTGCACAAAGGAGTGAAGAAATGTTTCGACACACTGGTTGACACGCTCTATCTGGCCGTCCGTTTGAGGATGGTAGGCTGAGCTGAACTAAAGCTCGGAACCGGCTGCCTTGAACAGATATTTCCAAAAGTTGCTTGTAAAGATGCGGTCAGGGTCTAAGACAATGGCTCGAGGAACACCGTGAAGGCGATACACTTGGTCCATGAAAATTTTGGCAACAGAAGCTGTTGTAAAGGGATGACGCAGGGGAATAAAGTGTGTAAACTTGGAGAATTTGTCCACCACTACTAAGATGGCATTGAAGGAACCGGATTGTGGCAACCCTTCGATGAAATCCATTGTGATCACTTCCCAGGAGACAGACGGCACTGGAAGTGGCTGTAAGAGACCTAGGTAGTGTGATCTGTCCGGCTTGGCTTGCAAACACACAGCACATGACTGAACATAAGCCCAAATGTCTGATTTCATACCAGGCCAGAAGAACAAAGCTTTAATTTTACTGTGTGTTGCTGGAGCTCCTGAGTGTCCACCCAAAGGACTGCTATGCAGTGCAGTCATGATTTTAAGCTGCATGGGCTTATTGGAACCGAGCCACAGACGGTTCTTGTATCTGATGACTCCTTGGACCAAAGGGAATGGAGGGTGGCTTTCTGGGCTGGTAGCCAGCTGAGATAACAAAGCCATAGCAACTTGATCAGAGTAGTATCCCTGGACCACTTCATCGAGCCAAGTGTTGGAGCCAAATGTTGAGAACCACTTAGCGTGTGTGAGCTCATCCATCAACTGGTCAAACACTGGCACAAGAAACTTAGATTTTCTTGTTAGTGCATTGAGATGTCTGAAGTCAACACAAAAGCGGTAGGAGCCATCTTTCTTTTTGACAAGCAGTACCGATGAGGAGAAGGAGCTAGAGCTCGGCTGAATGAGTCCTTGTGACAACATCTCCTGAACATGCGCTTCAATTTCATCTTTCAATTTGGGTGGGTATCGATAGGGCCGAATGAAAATAGGTTGAGCACCAGGCAACAAGGGAATCTCATGGTTACAAGCACGGGAAGGAGGAAGAGATGTTGGTGGCTAGAACAAGTCAGAAAACTCTTCAATTAACTGACTGAATGGAGCTGGAATAGTGATGGCATCATGATCTGAAGACATAACAGGCTCTGTATGTTCAATTTGCAACAACAGTTGTTCTGGTTCATCAGGAAGTATACCTTGCAACTCCTGAGTTTGGCCATCGTATGGAATTGCCAACCACTTCAAGGCCCAGTGAACTTGCATTGGGCTGTAGGACTCTAGCCAATCCATGCCCAGAATGGCATCGAAGTTACCCAAAGGCAGCACCCAGAAATCAGTGCGAAAGGAGCAGGAGCCCACTGTTCACTGAACTTGGCGAAGCAGCAAGGAACTCTGTAAGACACCTCCACCAGTAACTTGCACACAGCTAGAGATAGAGACTGGATCGAGGTGATGTAACTGAACAGCCGTAGTGTCATTGATAAATGAAGAGGAGCTCCCTGAATCCACCAGAATATGCACTAGAATATCTGACATGGATCCCAATAGCCGGATAGTACGAGCAGCAGGTACCCCAAACACAGCTGACTTGGATATGGCTAGAAACACTTGCTCAATTGGTTGATCATCAGATGTTTCTGCAGCTGGCACCACATCAGGATCCAGTGATTCCCAAAGAGCTTCGACCGCATGCAAGACCTCTGGTGCGCACCGGTGATCCTTACTCCACTTGGCGTTACACTTGTAGCATAAGCCCAGGGCTCGACGGTATGCTTTGACATCAACCAGAGCACCAGTTGCCGAAGATGTTGCCGTGGGCTCGGCAGCTGCAGGCTTCGCCACAGGCTTCTCGACACGAGGCGGAGGTGGTGGTAGCGGCAGCGCGGTCCGTGGTGTGGGTTTATGAGACCACTCAACCGGTGCCAACGAACGGAACGAAGACTGGGCGCCCGATTGGCCTGCCACCTCCTCCCGCACAAGAGCCATACAAATAGCAGCATCGAGTGTTTGTGGCCTAGAAACCAGTATCATAGCTTTAAGGTCGGGCCGAAGGCCATCGATAAATCTCATGGTATAAAACAGGGGATCAGTAGAAGCATAATAGGATTTGAGGCGATCGATTAAGATGGAGAAACGCTCGACATAATCCGACACCGTAGAAGTTTGTTTGATGTGGAACAATTGGCGAATTAAGGCTTCCTTCTGATCGCGATCAAATCGATCGTGCAAGGCTTGACAGAAGGATGTCCAATTGGCAGTAGCTAGAGTGTTTTCGATGGATTCATATCAGCCTGCAGCGGCGCCTTCCACATACATGGTGGCGACGCTAACCCAAAGGGAGGGATCCACGACGTACATGGTGAAGTATCGTTCATAGCGAGAGCGCCAGAGGCGTGGGTTTTCGCCATCGAACTTAGAGAATGGAAGTTTAGGGAGGCGTCCAGTTGGGTGTTGCAGGTCATGGGTGTCATGAGGAGTTGGGTGGCGAGGAGTCGAAAGTGGTGGACGAGGAGGTATGTAGAGCGGAGGGGGACGCGGTGGATGCGGAGAAGGATGCGGATGCGGAGGAAGGTGTGGAGAAGGGTACGGTGGAGCTGGTGGCCGGTGCGGAAGCGGAGGTGTCGAGCGTGGATGAAGGGGAGGAGGAGGGGGAGGAGGAGGAGGATCGGATGGCTTACCCATGACCGGGACGTGAGTCCAGACCGCCCCGGTCCCGAACCCACCATCCCGGTGAGACGATGCATCGCCGTGCCCATTGGGCGCAGGTGAAGAAGAGGCGAGAACGGTGGGCCATTGAGGCAAAACGTCGAACACCTTCGAGTCGCGACCTTGGGTCAGCTTCTGCATCTCGAGTCGCAGGTCGTCGACGAGCGCCTCCATCTTCGGGCGCCAAGTACCGAGGTCCGTGGCAGCTACCTCGAGGGCGGTGACGCGGTCGTCGCGGACGGCCTCCAAATCGGCGACGCGCCTGCCGATGGTGTATGCCGTGTCGGCGCCTACAAGCTCGATGGAGTCGAGGCGTTTGTCGACGGCGGCGTCGCGGGCGGTGCGGGCAAGCTCGAGATCAGCGAATCGCCGCTCCCATTGCTCATTGTGCTCGTCGAAACGACGCCCGAACTCCTCCTTGGACTTCTGGATTTCCTCCAGAACCAACTTGAGATTAGGATCCATGGCTCCCAGAGAGCGTTGCAGACGGGTAAAGTGGGGATGAGGAGGATCGGAGGCCAGGATTCGAACAAGAATCTGATACCAATTGTAAGGAGGAATTGCTAGGAAAAAGAACACAAGAACATGGCAGTTAACGGCGCGATGGCCGGTTTACTCAAGCTGAATTTAGGTTTTCTGTTTTTCCTCCGTGTCCGACTCCCTCTCCCTGGCTTCTACTTATTACAAGGATTCATACTCGCCACATTGGGCCGGCGAATCTTGTACTGGGCTGACGCAGCCTCCTGGGCCGGGCGTCCGGAGCAGCTCCCTCTTCAGTCCGAGACATGCCTTTCTTCTCCTGTCAGTGGCACGGGGGAGGCATGTTGCTGACAATGACCTCGGGCCATAACTTTTGACCCATATAATTCGATCTAATCTGCACAAGATCTGAAAACGTATAGCTAGCCCAGACCCGACGATCACGTCGAATTGGCACGATCCAGATTTTTTTTTACCCGGCGTTTTTTTCTTGGTCCGATCCAACCCAATCAGAGGCCTAGTTTCCCATCCTTCACAAACGTAGAATAATCAAAGTTGCTTCTGTTTTTGGAGAAGAAGCTAGGAGCAGTAGTAGTATCAATCAGTAGGGAAGAGAAAGGGAGAGAAGAGATAGTGCTGTCCCTGTTCCATACAGTACACTGTTGTTGGCACGTGGACCTCTTGTCCCTTGTCGACTTGTCGTAGCATTAGCATCGGCCTCGGTCGTGTCCTCCGCTCCTCCCACTGTCCAAACACGACTCGCTTGTCATCCGCCGAGCCGAGAGTCCACAGCCGCCGCACTGCACCAACCAAAGCGGCGCGTCCACCACAACGCAAGCGGCCGGATAGCTAGCGTAACGGCAGTTTGGCGACGCAACACCTCGTGCTGCCGTTGCACGCCTAGACAGACGTCGCCGGATCCGGACGCCGGTCGCCGGTCGCCGGTCGGCAAGAGGGGGTAGCCGGCCGCCCTCCCCAAACGAAGCTTGCACGCGTACGCGAGCGCGTCGAAGGGGAAGAAGGGTCCAGCCTCGGTGATGTGCACGAGAACACTTTCTTGTTGCGGGCGCCCATCGCGACCCGATTTTGCCTTGCCAGGCTTTGGCCGCGTTTAGTTCGGCCCCGGATTCGGCGCCGCTGGAATCCTATATACTGTTGTACACTGTAGTATTTTGTTTTTATTTGATAATAATTATCCCATCGTTGACTAATTAGACTTAAAATGTTCGTCTCGCAAAGTACAACCAAACTGTGCAATTAGTTTTTGATTTCGTCAACATTTAGTACTTCATGCATATACCGCAAATTTAATGTAACGAGGAATCTTCTTTTTGTATAGTGCCAAATTCTGAAATTTAGGGCAACTAAACATGGCCTTTATCCAATTCTTACTTATCGCGACAATTGTTCTGTAGGAGCACAGTGTGATAGTTTAGTATCCTATGTTCGATTAATTATAAATAAAAAATATTAATATTTATGATATTAAATAAATATTATTAGATTAATTACGAAATATATTTTTAATAATTATTTTATAGCTATAAATGTGAATAATATTCATTAGAAATTTAGTGAAACATGAACCACTTTTGCTGGCACGTAGTTCATAGTTACGTTCTTTTCTGGACAGACGGAGTACGAACATTATCTAAAAAAGAAATGTTCTGTAGCACGCTAACACGTGTACGGATATGCTTGTTCCTGACACGGTAGCTATGTTCAAACGAGAAGCAATATCTCTGCAGTATCACGGAGCCCCGTACGGTGATCCAGTGCTCCTTTCCCTGCAGTTACTGCTGACGAGGTCAGCTTGTCCGTTCAAATGAAACGCGTCATGCTCCATATTTGCAGTTTGGGTCAGTCCAGATCAGTTAACATTTGGAGCAAGGACCGGTGGAAAGCAGTTTATATATGATTTGTCTGGTTTAGCTTTGAGTCGTGAAAAAACTACTGTGACTGTGAGCTACAATATGAGTTAGGAAAAACCTATCGTGAGCTATGTGTCATAAAAAGTTATAACTTGTATGTTCCCACTAAAGGGTAAAAGCAAAAGGTTAAAAGACAAAAGTAGGGCACAACATGTTATGAAAAAACTACTACAAAGTAGTTGTTTCTAGAAATCAACTTCTAGTTCTACCCATTTAGTTGATGTTATGCTTTTAACAGCACAAGTATTTTCTATAGTTGAACCAAACACAACTATAGACGAAGTGATGCGTAGATAGTCTCTTCTTAGCTTTCGTAAGTTGAATTGATGAGGTTGTTTAGTAGCAATTAAATTTATTATTATTTAAAGAAATTCATTATATTTGTTTATTATGAATATAGGATGAACAATATCGTTCTATCCTCATTTCAAAATGTAAGACAATTTTAGTTTTATCCTAAGTCAAAGTACATCTAAGGAATATTGCTTGTGGTCTAAAGATTTATGTATTTTTAAATAAATTTGGTTAAATCTAGAGAAAAGAAACAACTTACAACTTACTCTCTCCGTCCTAAATAAATCAATTCCTAGATCATCAAAAGCTAACTATTTTAAGTTTGCCCTAATTTATAGAAAAAGATAACAATATCTATGACACTAAATGAGTAGATTATGTAATAAAATATATCAAGATACTAAATTGATGTAAAAAATGTTGGAGCTATTTTTCTATAAATTAAGTCAATTTTAGAATAATTTGACTAGGAACAACAACTCTAGAAGTCGATTTTATTTGGGGAGGGGGAGTATATCAGAGAAAATATTATCAATCAATGTGATTGATAACCAACAAAAAAATCAATCTAAATCTAATGGACTTGTTTTCTGACCAGTAGCTACTCTCTCCGTTCCTGTTTATATGCGTTCTCACTTCTCATAAAGTCAATTATATTCAACTTTGACCAAATATATATAAGAAATATTAGTATTTCTGGTACATAATTAATGTTATTAGATAGATCGTTGAATCAATCTTTAAAATAAACTTATTTGAAGATACAAATTGTCGGTGTAGAAAGTGACCAACAAGTGAATATTTGTAGTTTTACCGTACGTTGTGATCGGAGGTGGCCTAGCACTCAATGACACAGGGTTTATACTGGTTCAGGCAACATGCCCTACGTCCAGTTTGAGTCGGTCGGTGACTTTATTTCTGAGCCCAGGCGCTCGAAGTTTGCAGTGGAGTTACAAACGAGAAGGAGAAAGATGGGGAGCAAGAGGCCCGGTCGGACTCTAGTCCAAGCGTCGAGAGAGAGACGGGGGCTCCGTTATGGCTAAGTGTTCAAGCGTGTGCTTGTGGTTCGAACCTGGCGGTTCTATGATTGTGTGCTAGTGAACTTGGTTGATCTAATAGATCTGGATTAATTTGACTGAATCTGCGTTAACCGTCCCTTTTGAGAGAGGGTGCATCCCCTTTTTGAAAGTGCATCTAGCTCTTTAGTGGGTTTTGGATGATTGAATGACAACGTGATTAAAGGTCTAACCCGTTTGCTAAGTATGGACAGGTTATAGGTTATCTCATGAGTACTTAATGAAAGCCAAAATGATGTGTTGTTGTATAAACAATCTAGTTCAAGCACAAGACAACAATGCAAATGTTATTCATGCAAAGACTCATTTATTGTGGGATTTTCATTTGGTATGTGAAAGCAAGCTCGTGAGAATTAATTAATGAGACATGAGAAATTGCATATGGAATGGTCTCATACTTGAAGCTTGCTAAATTGAAATGAAAAAGATAACAATACAAATGAATGGATGATTCAACACAAGAAGTGACTTAATGGCTTGAGATGATAAAGATAGCAAGGAAAGGCTTTGAGGTACTAAGCAAGGGTGAAGGGCAAGCGACGGCTTGGCGGCCGAAGAACCTAGCTAGGGTGAAGAAGAAAGTACTTGCATTTAGTTGAGGTACTAATCAAGCTATGATGGCCATGTTCATGTGGAGGATCAAATCACTATTGGATTGTTTGATGGAAGTGACTTGATATATTTGGGATTATTCAAATTTAATGAATGGAATCAAGTCACGTGCTCAAGATGGCTATGCTCAAGTGAAAAGATCAATATCAACATGTTAGCACCCTTACTTGATGAAGATTGAAAGAGACGGCATCAATTCAAAAGAGATCAACTCAAGTGGTATAAATCCATTTTTCCTTTGATCTTGAGTTTAATAGGTATGCTGTACTATTAAGAGGGATGCATCGTGTTGATAGATAATGTTTCATAAGTGCTCAAGCCAACCCATGTGAGATTTGAGTGTTTAAGAGATAAAAAGGCTAACTGACTTGTTGCTGGTCTAGCCTTACCGGACGTGTCCGGTATGCATACCGGACGTGTCCGGTATTTGCCCAGTAACTATAAAAATGTTGTTTTCGGGTTGGTCCGTCGGGAGTTTCGATGTAGGTCGGGAGTTTCGACGGTTGGGAGTTCCGGCAAGGGTCGGGAGTTCCAACGTCTCACACTTTAACTGTCTTGGAGGGTTCACTGTTGAAAGCTCTAGTTTGGTTTTGGTAAATTGATGGAACCCTAAGTGCTAACCTAGTTCATCAAGTGATCATGAGATAGGTAGCACACTTCAAGTAGAGAAGCAAATGAAGATCATAACATGACAATGGTGATAGCATGGAGATGATCAAGGGCTTAAACTTGAAGAGAAGAAAGAGAAAAACAAAAAGCTCAAGGCAAAAGTATAATTTGTAGGAGCTATTTTATTTTGGTGATCAAGACACTTAGAGAGTGTGATCACATTTAGGTTTGATAGCCGTACTATTAAGAGGGGTGAAACTCGTATCGAAATGCGGTTATCAAAGTGCCACTAGATGCTCTAACTCATTGCATATGCATTTAGGATCTAGTGGAGTGCTAACACCCTTAAAAATATTTGTGAAAATATGCTAACATATGTGCACAAGGTGTTTGTAGGGTTGAGATGGGTTTGGGTCCCTCTCTCCCTCCCGCCGAGCTTGCGAGGCGGGATTCGGCGCTTTCGGAAAAATAAAATGTCTATTTTCTATTGCGCCGGATGCAAAATTCTTGGTGGTTGGCACACTTAAGCAAGGGTGAAGAAATAAGAGTTGAAATGGAGTTGATCGAAATGATGCTGGCATCGGTCCAGTGACCGGACGCTGGATCCAGAAGCACCGGACGCTGACTGCCTACGTCCGGTCGCGTTGATTGTCGGTACAGTGGCTAGGGGTTGAGCACCGGACGCTGGCTGCGTTCGGTCAAGGTGGACCGGACGCGTCCGGTCGAAAAATCATGCCTCGGGGAGCTTACTGGAAACGACCGGACGCTGGGGCTTCAGCTCCGGTCAGTTTTACCGGAGCGTCCGGTTAGCTTCGCAGCCGTTGAAATCTGACGAACAGCATTTGAAGCAGGGGACACGTGGCGTGAATCACGTGACCGGACGCTGAGGGCCAGCGTCCGGTCGATCGGACCGGAGCGTCCGGTCACCCCGCGTTGTGCCCAGTGAAGGGGTACAACGGCTCTATTTTACTGGGGCTCTATTTATAGCCCCATGGCCGGCTCAAGGGAGCTCTCTTGCACATTTTCATTGACATAGCAACCTTGTGAGCCTAGCCAAAGTTCTCCCACTCATTTCCATCATAGATTAAACATCTTTGTGAGATTGGGAGAGAATCCAAGTGCATTGCTTGAGTGATTGCATCTAGAGGCACTTGGTGATTGTGTTTCGCTGCGGATTTCGCTTGTTACTTTTGGTGGTTGCCGCCACCTAGACGGCTTGGAGCAGCAAGGATCATTGAGTGGAGGAGGTGATTGTCTCCGACTCCGATCGTGGTGATTGTGAGGGGTTCTTGATCTTTCCCCGGCGGAGCGCCAAAAGGTACTCTAGTAAATTGCTTGTGGCTTGTGTGATCCTCATCTTATGTTGGTTGTGCGGCACCCTATTGAGGGTTTGGCGAGTGATGCCAATCAGCGCGTGAAACTCCAAGTGAGTGAATCGCCACAACGAGGACTAGCTTGCCGGCAAGCAAGTGAACCTCGATAAAAATCATTGTGTTCATCATTTGATTCCGAGGTGATTGGTCTACATTGGTATTCATTATTGTGATTGATTAGTTCCTACCACTACACGGCGGTATAACTCTCTTGCTCACTCTTACATTACCGCAAACTAGTTATCAAGCTCTTTAGTGTAGCTAGTTGTGAGAGCTTGTTTGTTTGATTAGTGTTGCTCTTTAGTTAGTCTTTGAGAGCACACTAATTTAGCTAAGTGTCATAGCTATTGTGTGGACATACACTATTCGAAATAGAATTATGGTAGGTGGCTTACATTTTAGTAGGCTAGCGCAACACTCGCTTCGCCGCAAAATTGTCTAACACATTTTGTTAAGTGTTGTTGTAGAATTTTATTAGGCTATTCACCCCCCCTCTAGCCATTAGGATCTTTCAACTGTCCTGGTCATACCGGACGTGTCCGGTATGGACGACCAGAGGCCAACGGCTAGTTTTCCAAAGCCTTGAGGGTCGGGAGTTCCGACGTGAGTCGGGAGTTCCGACGGTCGGAAGTTCCGGAATGTGTCGGGAGTTCCGACACCTCATACTCTTTAACTCAGTTACATGGTTTTCAAATCTGCTGAGGATCGGGAGTTCCGACGTGAGTCGGGAGTTCCGGCGGTCGGGAGTTCCGGCATTCATCGGGAGTTCCGATGCCTCACAACTTCACTGTAACTTAGTTACCGTTGGGGCAGTGTAAGTCATACATACCGGACGTGTCCGGTATTGCAACGGCTATAAAACGGCTAGTTTTTCAAGGGGGCTATAAATACCTCCAAGCCTCCACCTTTGGAGGCTGCTGATTCTGCTGAGATATACACACGTCTTTGAGCCTTGCCAACTCTTCTAAACCCTCTCTTAGTGAGTGTGTGATCCAAATTGCAAAATCAATTTGTGGGTTAAGAGAGAATTTGAAAAAGAGAGCAAGCCACCACTTGAGCACTTGTGCATATTGTCAATCTCGTGATTCGCATTTGTTACTCTTGGACTCTTCGGTCCTAGACGGTTAGGCGTCGCCGGAGAGCACCCGAGAGATTGTGGTGTGCCTCGGAAAGTTTGTAACGGTCGATTCCGCCGCCTCGTAATCAAATTAGTGTAAGGAGGAAAAGGAGTTGGAAAAGACTCCGGCTAGAGTGACCTTCGTGGTACCCTCTAGGGCTGACCTTTGCTGGGTCGCCCGCAGCCCCCTCAACGGAGAGTAGGACTCGAACGAGTCCGAACTTCGGTAAAACAAATATCGTGTCTCAATTGGCATTTCATTTGATATTTGTGTTGCTCTAGCTATTCTGCAGGTTCTCTGTGTATATTGTCATCTTCATTAGGTGCCTGCAGTTTGGTTTGAAGATAGAAATCAAAAGGAGCAAGTTCAGGGCCGATCTGCAGAAATCGTGTATACCGGACACGTCCGGTATTTCCTGCCTGCACTGAAAATATTTATTCTCTGTTCTAACTTGGTGTTGCAGGGTTGTAGCTTATAGATATATTCTTTATACCTTGTTTACTCTGTGGCTAACTTGTGAGTGGTGGTAGTACTCTTAATTTGGAGTTTCCATTTTAGAAACTCCCCTTTCTAATTGTTTCCACATTTAAAGATATTAATTTTCAGAAACACCTATTCACCCCCCCTCTAGACGGCATCCTAGGTCCTTTCACTTTTATAGACGAAGGGGATGGCCTTATAAGTGAGAGGGGGAGTGCACGTATGCTACCGAGTCTTGCTGCCCACGTCGGCGGGTATAGGATAATGGTAGGTGCCCACAATACTGTTGAGTGTCGGAGGCACATGGGAGGTTGCGTCGTCTTGTTCGGGCATGACAGATGTCGGTACCTGCTATACTGTTGATGCCCAGAGGCATGTGAGTGGTTTTACCATGTTCACTCGATACGGTAAATGCCGGCGCCCACAACACTGTCGATGCCCAGAGGCATGTGGGGTGCCTTACCGTATGAGAGTTAATGACGGCCACAATACTGTAGGGAAAAAGTCGATGCCTACAACACTGTTTTGGCTCTGTTGTGTCAGGGATGGTCGCAGGGTACTGCCTGCCAGGTGCGCAGGGTATGGTCCCTGTATTGCGGCTTTGACTTATGTGCCCTACCTTACTTTCTCCGGATGTTTCTTAGTCCTTACCGAGTGGGTGTCCCCGGTCGGTTGGTTCCAGGCGGCTCTGGTTGCGCTAGTCGGAGCAGTGAGCAGGAGTTTGGCGTATCCCTGGTCGGAGAGCGCGGGGTCGGAGTCGGAAGCGGCGCTTTTGGCTAGGCCTTCCGGTCGGAGAGGCCGTCCGCACGTCGGCGGGTATAGGATAATGGTAGGCGTCCACAATACTGTTGAGTGTCGGAGGCACATGGGAGGTTGCGTCGTCTTGTTCGGGCATGACAGATGTCGGTACCTGCTATACTGTTGATGCCCAGAGGCATGTGAGTGGTTTTACCATGTTCACTCGATACGGTAAATGCCGACGCCCACAACACTGTCGATGCCCAGAGGCATGTGGGGTGCCTTACCGTATGGGAGTTAATGGCGGCCACAATACTGTAGGAAAAAAGTCGGTGCCTACAACACTGTTTTGGCTCTATTGTGCCAGGGATGGTCGCAGGGTATTGCCTGGCAGGTGCGCAGGGTATGGTCCCTGTATTGCGGCTTCGACTTGTGCTCCGGTTGGAGAGGTGAGCCAGGTTCGGAAAACAGGCGCGGTTCCTCCTCGGCCTGGCTTTCCGGTCGGAGATCGGATCACTCCTCCGGCCTATCACTAATGTATTTGGGCCGGCCCATGAGTTGTGCGCTGTCTGCTTGGGTCGAGCCTTTGCGGGGAAGCCGGTCCACGAGTGACCCTGGGTTTACGAATCCGACATAAATATTGCTAATATTTTTTATAAATATAGATAACCAAGAAAACTTGCCAATCATTGAAGCGATCACTGGATATGTGGATCCTTCATCTCGTCGTTGGGGGTATAAAAAAGACAAACAGAGCCACGCAATCGGCAACGCAGTAAAACACACACACACACACAACACTGACTCGAACTGTCGGTTTCGAACTCGAGTTAAACAAACAACAGGAACAGGGGCACAGGGCAAAGGCTCGCCCTCCTCCCTCTTTTAAGCCTTCGGAGAGCACGGCCTGTGTCTCCGACCTTTGCTGCTTCCACTGGGACCATGCAGAGCACCGTGAAGCTCGCGGTGCTAGCTTTACTGCTAGCGGCAGCAGCTCACCATGGTCTGCTGCCGCTGCCGACGGCGCGATGCTACTGGCTCAACCTGGAGATCTACGACGCCGGCGGGCTGAGCCGCCGCACGTTCCCGGAGGGCTTCTCTCGGGACTGCCGCGTCGGCGTACCAGGTCGAGGGATGGCCAAGCACGGGGCCGGGGCCCAGCATCTGGGACGCCTTCATAGAGGTACCTGGTAAGCAGAGCAGTTTCAACAACACAACCATGGTTTTTTTTTCTTCTGATTCTTGGGATAACGAAGTGGTGACAGTAATGATGCTTGAATTTGTGTTCTTGTTGTTGGGGGAATGAAAAATAAGGGACCATCCCTAACAATGCCACCGCTGATGTGACGGTCGACGAGTATCATCGGTACAAGGTGTGTTATCTGAATGCTGTGTTTTTTTTTATTTGGTGCTCCTTGTTGTTTTGTGATGCCTGATGGATGCTCTTCGAGGCACAGGAAGATGTGAACATAATGAAGAACATGGGCTTTGATGCGTACCGCTTTTCGATTTCTTGGTCGAGGATTTTCCCAAGTAGGCGTGCTCCATTTTGTGATTTTTCTTGGGTCCGAGGAGTTTCTGATGTAGAGTTCTGTATATATAAAATATAATATATTCAGATGGAACTGGCAAGGTGAACCAGGAAGGAGTGGATTACTATAACAGGCTCATAGATTACATGCTTCAGCAAGGTGAGTTTCTCCAATATCGCAGTTAGTATATATTCTTTCAGGAAACATTCAGATTCCTGATTAAGCTTTGTTGCCCCCCATTAAAAAAAAACCAGGCATCACCCCGTATACAAATCTCTACCATTACGACCTCCCATTGGCACTCCATGAACAGTACTTGGGCTGGCTTAGCCCAAAGATTGTGTAAGAATTTCGAACTACACATCGAGAAATCAAGTTTCAAATTGATTTAACCATTTGTCAGTCAGTCTGAGCCAACTGCACATTGTGCCCATGATTGAAGGGAGGCGTTTGCAGACTACGCCGAGTTCTGCTTCCAGACGTTCGGGGACAGGGTGAAGAACTGGTTTACCTTCAACGAGCCAAGGTGCGTCGCCGCTCTGGGCTACGACAATGGCTTGCACGCACCGGGAAGGTGTTCCAAGTGCGCTGCCGGAGGCAACTCCACAACGGAGCCATACCTTGCTGCACACCATCTCATCCTTTCTCATGCAGCTGCGGTGAGGCGATACCGCGACAAGTATCAGGTAAAATGCAGACCTGCTAACCATTTCAAGCCCCAGAACTTTGAAGTGTGAATTGCACGGTGCAAATTTAGTTCAGTTAAAATGTTAGTGCTCAGGCATCTGAAATATGATCTGTATCTCTTTTTCCATTAAACGAACAGCTTTACCAAAAAGGTAGAATTGGAATTCTCTTGGATTTCGTGTGGTACGAACCTTTCCGCGACAGCAATGCAGACCAGGCTGCAGCACAGCGAGCCAGGGACTTCCACCTAGGCTGGTAAAGCCCTGAAAACACACACTTGATTAAAGACCAAATGTCATTGCAGACCTTATTAGAGGTTCATTGTATCAATGAGTCAGTGACATTATTATAGCGTACTAGGCACAAACTGTTGATATCTTATCTTGGAGGGAAACAAACTAACACAGCTCGTTGCCAAGAACAAACTGATACTACAATCTTCTTACAGGTTCCTTGATCCCATTATAAATGGACGGTATCCGTACTCGATGCAAGAGATTGTCAAAGACAGGTTGCCATTGTTCAGCGATGAAGAATCCAGGATGGTGAAAGGCTCTATAGACTATGTTGGCATCAACCACTACACTTCTTTCTACATGAAGGACCCTGGGACATGGAACCTGACGCCAGTCAGCTACCAGGATGATTGGCATGTTGGTTTTGTCTGTAAGTTTCTGACTCGACATACCAAATTCTTGAATTCTGCAGTTTATTGTGCTGCTGTCAACTGTGACTAGATGCTCATTCAGTCATATGCTTCTCACATGTTTCTGCAGACGAACGAAACGGCGTTCCTATTGGCGCTCATGTAAGTATGCTGCTAGATGTCTTCAAACATCGAAAGCAGGGAGAACTGAAAGTTGGTTTGCCTCTGATTATGTAACTGTAAATTTCTTTGAGCTGTGCAGGCAAACTCCTACTGGCTGTACATTGTGCCGTGGGGAATCAACAGGGCTGTCAACTATGTCAAGGAAACTTATGAAAATCCTACAATGATCCTTGCTGAAAATGGTACTCATGAATCAAAATTCAAATTTCCAAGGAAAATGGTCTATGGATTGGTTATAATAAGTGTTATGCTCTTGCAGGAATGGACCAACCTGGTGATGTCAGTATTACTCAGGGTGTGCATGACACAGTAAGAATCTGTTATTACCGAGACTACATAACTGAGCTCAAGAAGGCAATAGATGGCGGTGCCAGAGTCATTGGGTACTTTGCTTGGTCGCTGCTTGACAACTTCGAGTGGAGGCTTGGGTACACTTCGCGGTTTGGCTTGGTCTATGTGGACTACAAGACGCTGAAGAGGTACCCCAAGGACTCAGCTTTCTGGTTCAAGCATATGCTCTCCAAGAAGAGGAGCTAGAATTTCAAACAAGAGGACCAATGGCTTCAGGTGTCACACAAAAGTTCACTCTGCATATCCTCTTAGTATGTCAGATTTAGCTTAAGAAACCATGCAGATGATTGAGTCTCAAGACTCGACATCTCTAGCTTTGTTAATTGTTGCAAGGGAATAAATTGGCATCTTTGAAAACCTTGATCCTCCATAATAGAACAAATAGAAGCACAATGACTAGATCACAGAAATGACACACAAGTTCAACAACATATATGCCATAAGAAAAAGAAAAGGGATGAATTAAAATTTCATTGCATTCAAGAAGCTGAAAAATGATCTCATTTTATTCGATAATCCAAACCATATATATATATTTGATTATACGATATACCGTCTTAGCATAAATCAACAACGAAAGCATGCTATCTTCATTGCTATACTTTCTATACTAAACCTATACTTGAGATTCTATCTTGCCATTTTCTGTCCAAGAGCTTATCTTCATCGTGCTAACATGACGACTTAACTTCTATCCTACACTTCTCCGTGGGAAGGCAAAACCAGGCCATTAAGACAACAGCAGGTAGAAATTACTAGATACACTTCAGAAGATAACTTGGCCTCTCCAATAGCCTTACAGTAAACATCTCCATTGCTATAAACAAAACTTAGTTAACTTCATCGGATCAGTCTGCGACCTGAATTTTTTTTCAGAAAGTTAGTATACACGATATATCATGCGAGTCAATAACTATAATGCACATCAGAAAAACTAAGACATGGTTAAAATGACTCCTTGTGCTTGCGGGCTGCGGCAAGTTCCTAAATCCTAATTTGCAGTTCTAGGAATTCTACATTTCAATTCACTGATTTTGAAGCTCATAGCTGTGCACAACAAATTGCGGATTTAAAAATGCAATTCCAACTACCATCCTAATTCAAGTAGTCTGCACGAGTTTAACATACCATATAAACATACGGATCCAGGGCACCACCAGTGCCTGCACGCCGCAAGCCGCCCTCCTGCTTCAGCAGCCTGCAAATTTTGCACGAGCGGAAGCACGCAGATACACAGGTTTAGGCAGCAATCAGGCAACCATTGCAAAACCGCTTCAAATGGGAGTCGGAGGCAGAGTCAAGCTCACCAGCGTATCGCCTTGCTCGTGCCGGAGTTGTCACCGACGGCGGCGCGGATGTCATTCTCGGTAGCTGGCCCAGCTCGCGGCCGTGAAAACCACTGCATGATCACGTCCGCCCTCCTCGGCCCCTTCCCAGTCCCACCAGCAGCACAACCCACCCGCGGAGCCCGGCGGCATCTCCCCGACGTGGCTGTGGAGCCCGCGGACGCGGCGGCCGTGACGGTGCTCCCCTCGCTGGCCACGGCGCTGCTCCTCTCGCTCTGGTCATCCTCGTCGCCGCCGCTGTCGATCTCGATCCACACGCCCTTCCGCTTCTTCTCTGCGTCGGTATGGAACAAAGCGCTTGTGGCCTCGGCGAGCACCTGGAGCCAAGGAGCAGAGCCATCAGTGCGTAATCACAGAAGAGAACTTCTCGCAACCGCGTGCTGATCATTAGTCGAGGAACCGGATTGCACACCTTAGGGTCGACGCGGCGGAGGGAGGCGACGACGGAGAGCACACGGAGGGGGTCGACGGGGCGGCCGCGCTGCGCCGAGTCGGAGACGCACGACCTCGCCGACGCGCCGGAGTAGGAGGACGAGTAGCCCGAGTAGCAGGAGAACTCGTCGCTGCAATGCGGAGAAGCGCGCCGCAACGGAGGCTCGGTTAAATTGCGGTGATGAAGTGCAATTCGGTGGGGCGATGAGCGGATGACGCGAGGCAGGCGAGGAAAGTACCTGAGAGCGGGAGGAGGCGAAGGCGGTGCCGGCGGGGGCGTGGAGTCGGCGAGGAAGAGGAGGGCGCGGGCCCCGGAGACGTCGGCGAAGGTGGGATACTCCGCTCCCATGCCGCCGGCCGCGCTCTCCGGCAGAGGAGGAGCAGTCGCCGACTGGCCCGGTGGTGGCGGAGGCAGCGGTTGCCGGGGCCCGGGGGCTGGGGATTTTGTGGGGGATTTCGAAAAGTTTCGGGGGCGTGGCCGTGAGGCTGACAGGGGAGCAGCGCCATTTTGAAATTTCGAGCGTCTTGGAACGCCGGATTTGTTTCGCCTCAATTGTTTGATGGGCCGAATCAAGATTCGAATCCGGCCCATGGTATTGAAAATTGCCCAGGAAAGAGGCCCTCAGTTCGGTCCAAGTCCAACTCGTTAGAGCCTACTCCCCCAAGACCACGCAGTCCACGCCGTCGGCCCTTCCGGTCCCCTCGCCGGCCGAAGTGCCGAACAATCTCACCGGCGGCACTACCAGCGCGGCGCCGCGACTTTCGCGCTTTACCCGGCGGCATCGAGTCAACGCCTTTCCCTCCCCCAACACCCAAATGCCACCGCACGCCTTGCCCACTACCTCCACCCGCATCTAGGCGCGTCGTCTACGTCCTCCTCGCGGCGCTCGCCACGGCGCCGTTCCTGCTGTTCCTCCTCTACGGCGGCACCTCCCCGTCCGCGCTCTGCCCCGCTTCCTACCGCGCGCCCCGCCGCCTCCCGTACCCGTCCGTGCTCTGGTCCAAGGTGCCCCCGCTCCCCGCGCTCCCCACCTCGCCGCACCCGGACTTCCACGGCTCTCGCTGGATTGTCTTCACCGCGTCGCCGCACGCCCCGCGGCACCGGCCGCTGCGCGCGGTCCCGGGGTGGCAGCTCCTCGCCGTCGCCGACGAGGCGACCCCCGCGGACTGGTCCCACCCAGGCGCCGTGCTGCTCACGCTCGCCGACCAGGCCCGCCTCGGATTCCGCTCCGTCGCTTTCCTTCCAGCCCGGGGCCTGGCGCGCAAGGCCGCGGCGTACCTCTTCGCCGTTCAGCGCGGGGCGCGGGTCATCTACGACGCCGACGCTGGCAACGCCGTCCTGGGTGGGAACCTCACCGCTCACTTCGATGTCGATCTGGACCAGCGCCAGGGAGGCGCCGTGCTGCTGCAGTACAGCCATGCCGATCCTAACCGGACGGTCGTGAACCCGTTTGTGCACTTTGGGCAGCCGTCGGTCTGGCCGCAGGGGCTGCCGCTGGAGAAGGCAGGGGAGCTGGATGCTGAGGAGTTCTACACTGAGATATTCAGTGGTGGCCAATTCATGCAGCAAGGGATGTGTAATGGACTTCCAGATGTTGACTCAGTGTTCTACTTTACCCGGAAGTCATTGGAGATGGAGGCATTTGATTTCCGGTTTGACGCGGATGCACCCAAGGTTGTGCTGCCACAGGGCACAATGACGCCAGTCAACTCTGTTAACACATTGTTCCACTCGCCGGCGTTCTGGGGGCTTGCATTGCCAGTGTCTGTGAGTCCAATGGCATCGGATGTCATACGCGGATACTGGGCTCAGAGGATACTATGGGAGATTGGAGGGTACCTAGTTGTCTACCCACCAACTGTGCACCGCATAGATAATGTGCGTGCTCACCCATTTGATAACGAGAAGGATCTCCATGTCAATGTAGGGAAGCTGATAAAGTTCCTAATGGAGTGGCGATCCAGTAAGCGGACACTATTTGAGCGGATTCTTGATCTAAGCTATGCGATGACAGAGGAGGGATTCTGGGGTGAAAAGGATTTGCATTTCATGACTGCTTGGCTGCAAGATCTTGTTGGTATCGGGTACCGGCAGCCACGGTTGATGTCATTGGAGATTGACCGGCCTAGGGCAACCATTGGACATGGGGACAAGAAGGACTTTGCACCAAAGAAGCTACCTTCAGTGCATCTTGGGGTTGAAGAGATTGGGGAAGTAAGCACTGAGATTGGCAATCTAATTAAATGGAGGAAGCATTTTGGTGATATCGTGCTCATAGTGCATTGGACCGAACTTGTGGACCGAACTGCACTAGAGTGGAGGCTGCTTTACGGTCGGATATTTCGAGCAGTTGTTATTCTTTCAGAGCAAAGCTATTCTGATCTTGCTGTGGAATTCAGCAACTTGGCACAAGCCTACAAGTGAGTAAAATCATTTCTTACCCTGCTGATAAAATTCTCGCAACACTAAATAAACCCCTAAATTTTACTGGTTGCTGCATCCAGTAAAGCTTCGTTTCCTTCGTATCAAAACTATGCTACTCTGTAAGTGTGTACTAGTAATTTTGTGTTGCAGGTACTTTTTTTCTCGAACACGCAGGAGAGCTGCGTATCTTTGTATTATAGGGAAAGAGAGTGGTCCATACAAGAACCCCACTTACTAGTAATTTTGTGTTGCAGGTCCTTGCCGAAGGTGTTTGCTCGGTTTGGAGGTGCTCAAGGATTTCTGTTCCTTCAAGATCATATGGTCTTCAATTACTGGAACCTCTTGAATGCTGATAAAGCTAAGCTCTGGATAACCAACCAGGTGCATATCCACGTCATGATTTCTATTCTAGAACATATTTATGTGTGAAATACAGAATTTCTGAAGTTTTTTATGAGATAGAATTAACCTCTCCCCAGGTGAAGGAATCTTGGTCGGATGTGCCTCTACATGGTAACAACATTGAGTGACTTGTGAACCAAGGGGATATGATTAAAAAGGCAGTCAGCAATTTTCCATCTCATTACGAAGATAATTACAGGAGAAATGTTGGTGAAAAATAATCTAATTCGTTGCAGCAGTGAGATATTTTACGTACCTCAGCGGTACATTGGTGTTTTTCAAATCTTGTTAAAGCTATTGGAAGCTTAGACATTCATCACAGTTTTGCAGTCCCCATGTTATTCCTTGCAATGGATTCACCGAGCAACTTTGAATCCAAAGCTTTGACAAAGCTTGTCTATAGGGCAGATCTGCCATCAAATACCACACTCTCAACAATTTATACTGCTGAAGCACATGCAGTGTACCCTGTGAAGTTTCAGAATGAGATGGACTTTGTAAAACCAATCAGGGTTATGTCTTCAGGAGATCCATTTCTCATGGAATTGGTCTGATTTAGGAATTCACTAATTTTTTATGTGTCAGGTTAGAGAGAGAAAACAAAACAATGTTGAAGATAATATTGGGTTCCTCTTTGTCCTCCCTTCTTCCATCTGAGGATGAGGATAATCTAGTGTTACTAGATCTCAGTTTACATGTACAATCAGATAATACAAGCTTACTTTGCTGAGCTACAAAAAATAAGAAGAATTTCCAAAGTTCCTAGTGTATTTTGTTGAATTGAATCAGTTAAGACTGATTCTACTGTTACGACACTCCTTCCTAGTACTGCTGTCATCAAGCGCAAGAGGAAGGGCAGGGCGGCAACAAAAGCCCAACGTCCGTTTCCAAGGCCCAGGAGATGTAGGCAACCAAACACACGTTGCAGAACTGACACGTGTGTCGCGCGAGGAGTCCTCTCTGGTCTTCCAAAGTTGCCCATGGATGCAAATCCTCTCGAGTCTCGGCGCAAGGAGGGCCGAAAATAAACATATAAGAGGAGGGCTGCAGCCTGGATTGCAGGTAGGGTTTGGAGAAGAGGTGGCATAGTTGATTAATCGATCCGGCAGCCCCGCTGAGGCTGAGCAGGTTGGATCGATCGGGTGTCATCAATCGATCCAGCCGCCCCGCCAAGCAGCTTGGAAGGATCTACGGTGTCCTCTCCACGGGTCCGAGAGCCCGCCAGCGCCAGGTACACAACAGACTCGTGGTTCCAGATTCAGTTTCGGAATCCGACTTCTCTTCGATTGCAACTTGTGATGTTGCTCTCTGCAACTGTATAATTTTTTTTTCTAAAAAGGCTCGTTTTGCATCCGTAGATAGATCCAGATACACGAAGGGAGGGGAGGCGTCCACCCGCCGCTGCAAACCCTTTGATTTTAGGCGCCCTAGCAGCAACGAAAACAGGAATTTCAGATCTACCGCACGACTATCTGGAGGAAAGAGATGCCTAAGCGCCGAGTGGAGGGCTACGGCCAGAACCAGCGCCGCAATGGAGACTTGGCCTGCAAAAGGTCACGCCCAGAGAGACGGTGGAAGCACCTCTATCTAGTTTTGGATGACTGGGAGAAGGGATACAGCATCCACAAGATTGACCTTGCTAGTTTTGACTCCGACGACAACCAGGACTCCTCCAGGGTTGCTGTTGCAGGGCACCTCCTCGAGCCTCCTCTACTACGGTTAGAGTCACCAAGGGACGTGGACATGTTGTTCGCCACCATGGGAAACAAGATCTTCATTGTTACTGATGCACGTTATGGACAGACCCCTGCCCTCATCTATGACACCGAGACAGCGGCACTGGCACTTGGCCCTGCCATTCCTGCTCATCTGCAATGTGGCTTCAGTACTGTTGTTGCTGCCCATGGAATGTTCTACGCATTTTCACCTCCAGCTTGTAAAGAACAACACTCCTCTGATGATGACGAACAACACTCCTTTGATGTGATGTCATGCGCACTGACTGGCTCACGCGGTCCAGCTGAGGTGGGCTGGTTCTGGAGGAGTCTCCCGGCATTGCCGCCGCTGTTCAGCGTCCACGAGACCATTACATCATATGATGTGCACTCAGATGGACACACCATCTACATGACCACAGCCTACAGAGATCGTCCAGGTCTCCAGAAGAGCACCTACTCCTTCAACACTAAGTATTCTGTGTGGAGGTGGCATTCCTGGGCTCTACCTTTCAGAGATGAAGGTTACTTTGACAGTGAGCTAGATGCATGGGTTGGTCTTCGCTGGGATGGGTATATTTGTTGCTGCCAACTTCCCTCTGACACCGGCAGCGAAACTCCAATAGAGCTCGGCACAGTGGAATTGGATTGGCAACTGGTGGAGGACAAATTGTTTCAGAGGGAAACTGAGAAGCACTTGGTGGCCTCTCTCACCTACATGGGTAGAAGCAAATTTTGCCTCATCCATGAGTGCCATGTGCGAGGAAGCCAAAGCTAAGTACCTCTTGGGTGATGATGATAGCTGTG